TTTTAAGTACATCTGTGACTTCTATCAATAAGTTGAGAAAAATAAAGTTATTAATAACATGACTAAAATTTGTTTTCCAAATTAAAATTCTGTTAAGTGGATGGAATCATGTTCAACGGTTTAAATACAAATTACTTTTTGGAAATATAAACCTACTGCCCAGCATGAGGCAAATTCCTCTCAATTTTTCAGAACTCATTAACTCATTACTAGTGTAGCAAATTACAATGAATTAACTAATTGTAAAAAAATTCAGTGTCAATGGAAGTATAGGACCTCCAGTTTTCAAAAAGGCTATTTTGAGGCTGGGGAATGTAGCTCAGTGGTAGAGCACCTGCCTAGTATGCATGAGGCCATGGGTTCAATCCACAGCATGGAAAAACACACAAAACTATAGCTAAGAACTCTAACACACAAATAGTAAGCAATATGCTCAATACACATGAGATGAATGTAATGAAATTTGACAAAAAGTTTCTATAATAAGTGAAAGTTTTTTAAAAACTTATTAGGGAAAAATGCACTTAAAAAATCAAAATGGACTGAGCCGCAGGGCACTATGGCTAATGCCTAAAATCCCAGCAATTTGGGAGGCTAAGACAGGGGGATCCCAAGTTCAAGGCTAGCCTTAGCAACTCTGTGAAACCCTGTCAATCAATCAACCAATAAATGGGTTGGGGATGCAGCTCAGTGGTAAAGTGACCCTGGGTTCAATTCTTTTTCTTTTTTTGGTGGTGCTGGCGATTTCCTGGGCTTAATTCTTAAAAAAAAAAAAAAAAAAAAAAGACTGAGCAAATAAAACATCAAAATATTAATAGCATTTGACTAGGAACTCATCAGGCTACCTCAATACTTCTTCCCCCAATTATCACAAAGTTTTAAAGCCAGTAGTACTTATTGTCTTAATAAATTTTTGAGATGACCATCTCTTAACTTAGAAATGTGTTCATTCTCATTTAATTATTATTAGTTTTATCTTTATTTATTTATTTTATTAGTATCTTTTTCTAAATAAATACATTTGACTTCAGTGTTCAGAACATGACAGAAACTTCTTACTTAGGCAAACACTCAAAAAAGAGTTTCAACATGTGCAACACCTTTTTAGAAAAGTCCCATATTCACAACAGTAATTGATGTGTAACCAAGTTCCTTCATTAACTTCCTTTTTGTTGTTGACAAAAGCTTTCCCATATAACTATTTGCTGTCATTTTCTAAGGATTGACATCTCTCACCAAAGACCATGATTAACTCCAATTACTTTTATCTGTAGCATAGCTACAGAAATTCTGCCAGATGATGATAACAGTAGCTACCATTACTATTTTATTAGGTGGCAGATGTAAAGCAAGCATTTTCTGTGTGCTGCTCTCGTTTAACCCCTACAGTAATCCTGACCCGGATACTAATATTTTCCCCATTGTACAGATGGGGACAATGCCAGTCCAAGAGAATTAATAATCTGTTCAAGGATTCGGGACAAAGTCAAAGGAAAGGGATTTGAAATACAGATTAAAATATGGATGGATCCTGAAATTCGGCCTTTCATCTTGAAACAGAAAAATAAAAATTACTACAAAATCTCTTTGAGGCACATACAGACTCACATCTAGAACAGACTAGAAACTGATAGCAGTATAACCTCCTGAACTAAGTCTCACAGGCCTGCAGGTGTAAACTGTCAAAATCTCATTGGAGGAATTCTTGGAAGGTATAACTGGGTATTGCTAAAAAATTCCCATAATGGAGGAAGACCATCTAGCTCATTCCAAATTTATTGTAATAAGAGTTCTCTATTTAGTATTCGAATTTTCCCATATTTTATTTGAATATGGTCCATTAGCCCATTCACAAAGGACATGTGTATCTGAGTGGATATTTTCCAGCTTAAATAATTAATGGCATTTTCCCAAATATGTTAAATTGCAACCTAGGACATTTAAGGGATGAGGTAGAAATAGTAATGTAAACTGATAAACAGAAACGATGGTATTAAAAAAAAAGTAACATTATTTTCATTATATTTTCTTACAGTTTCAATAAGATCCTTCTATTAAGACACATTTTGATTTAAGGATATTTTGATCCCTTTAATGAGATCCTTTTTAGGATCCTTTAAATGACGAGCAAAGTTTAGATATTAAACTGAATAACAGTTATTCAACTTGAACAACTTCCTTAGTTATTCCTAACACCAAATAAGAATACATGAACTGCTTTTTGGGTCTCCAAATGGCATCTTGTATTGTCTAGCTGCAAATTTTTGATCTGTAAACCTTCATTTTAAAATGCTTTTCAACTTTTTCTTTTCTAAAAGACAAGCATTGATAATTAAACTTAATGTCCACATTCCACATGGACACTGCAATAAATAAATACAAATATACAATATAAGAAAGAAACAATCAATAAATGTTCAGTTTCCCTATTTGGATTCTGGGTCTAGTGAGAATACTTAATGGCCAGGGCAACGGAGTCCCCACTACTGTTCTACTTCCTCATCTACCACTTTGAATAAACAAGTGTGGATAAATTTAAACTCTCCAAACTGCAACTGTCTAATTTGTAAAATTGTGATTCCATCTTTGTTATATCATAACAGTGCCCCATCAGAAAATTCCTTCAAGTTCTTTCTAGGCTTAACGACATGTAATGTGAAGGTATTACCCTATTATTTTAATTCTTTTATAATCTTGCATTCTGTTTCTGCTCCTTGATGTTAGCATTAATTTTAACTTTCCTTTTTCCTTTCCCCCCATTTAATATTAACAAGTGCTTGAGATTTTCACTTTGTTCTAAGACTGTCTAATGATTAAAAAACAAAAAGAGCTTTTCCTTTTTAAGCATTCTATATGCATGAGTCTCAAATTCAAGTGCCTTGCAAGTAACACATATATGAACTGGCTACTGAGACAACATGAAGAAAGAGGCTTCTGGAGACTTAGAAAAGTACCCACATTTGCCTGAATACATTTAAATTTAAAAAAAAAAAGTTTAAAAAATATTTTTAAAAAATTTGATTTGGACAGTTTACAATTCATTCTATATGGTCACTACAAAAGACTTTCAGCCAATAAACATAAAAGCCCATTTTTCCAAGTATAATTTTCACACTAAATACTACTGTTTCATTTTTCCCATCCAATTTATGACTTCCCCTCACCCTCAGTGAATATATCCATTAGATAAAAATAACCTTCCTGATTATAGAAATCATTGCTACATGGACATTATCTACCTTGAACCTTTCAGAAGAAAGTATAAATAACCACTCTGAGATAATTATTATCAAGCATGTGAAGGCACTTAGAAATGGGTTTTTATTTACTGAAAGCAAACAGCAAAGCTTTTTTCTGTATTCTGACTTTCTAAACTCATGTTTCCCAATCTCTGTTGCCATGCTTACCCTCCCACCTCTACCTCTCCATGGCCTTGCACAACCTAGGTAAGTGTTCTACCACTGAGCTACACCCCTAGTTCCCCCAAGATGGTGACTTGCTGAATTCCCAGACTGGCCTCCAATTCTTAGGTTCAAGTGATCCTCCGTCTCCTCAGGGCTGGGAAAACAGATGCATGCAACTAACTGCACCTGACAGCTCTTGAAAAACAAAAATCATAGGTTGTTTTCCTCTGGAGATTGATACTTCACCCAAAAGACAAATCCTTCTTTTGGCAGGCAATATAGTCAGTCTATATTATGTTTTCACATTGAATCTTTTTTGTTTTACTTTTATACTGTCACTTATATAATGGACATGTTCATTATTTAAATACAATTCTTAAAAAATTTTTTAGTTGTAGTTGGACACAATATCTTTACTTTATTTATTTTTATGTGGTGCTGAGAATCAAACCCAGGGCCTCGCATGTGCTAGGCGAGCACTCTAGCTCTGAGCCACAATCCCAGCCCTAAATACAAAATTATAAACATAATTTTGAAAATACATAATACCACTTAGAAATTATGCTATGGTCCCTAGGGGGATATGATACCCTCTTCTAGAAAAAAAAAACATATTTTTTACTGTATGAAAATATGTTCACTAAAGTAAAATAAGCCTTGAGGTAAAATTTTTTTTTGGTATGGGGGGGGGATTGAACCCAGAGGTGTTTCACCGCTGAGCTACATCCTTAGCCCTTTTTAAAAAGTTTTTCTATTTTGAGAGAGCTAAGTTGCTAAAGGTAGCCTTGAACCTGCAATCCTCCTACCTTAGTCTACCAAATTGCTGGAATTAGCAGGCATGTGCCACCACTCCCAGTGAGGTAAACTTTTAAAAGGACCAATATATGAAATATGTTAGAGGTGCCCAAATGTCATGATTATAAACCTTAAAATAATCACATTAAATAAATGAACACTTCCGAAAACATATACTATGAAAAACTGGAAATTCACTGCTGAAAATAAAACTTATTTGGATGAAAAAGAATAAGACATTGTTGACTTTGGGGCTATAACCTTACAAGTTGGAATACATTACCAGGACTTCCTGCTTCCATTTCTGACATGGTCTCTAGACTTGTTAGGTCTTTATGAAACAGTCTTCTTACAGTTCTGCAGCCTCTTCCATCTTGCCACCTGTAACCATCTTCACTTTCTTGAAAGGCATCTTTCCTTGGTCTGCTTATGATAGGAATTCTAGGTCCAGGTTTAAACTCTCTCCAATTGTCTGAATTACCAGCAAGTTCATCAGATAGCCACCTCTTATTTTGATCTTTGTGGTTGTCATTCATCCAAGTGGGTTGACTGTAAATTGGGTTTTTAAATGCATATGGATTGCTGGAAACAGCATATGATCCTTTTCTCGGGGTATTCCCATAGTTCCCAGGAGTTAGCTTTTTTTTCGGAAGGCCTTTTTCCATTTTACTGCTATGGCCTTTAGCATAATCATCCATTATTAAATAATCTTGTTGGGGGTGACCCCTTCTGAAATCATCATCATCGACAGGTCCTCGGTCTTTACTGCGCTTCACAATATAAGGTTTTGCTGCATCTCCCATGGTCTTTGACTTCAATTTTCTTTCTTTGCACCTGAAAGAAGGCATTTCGGGAAAACAACTAAATATAACAAGATATGATACCAAGTACACAAAAAGCCATATCATATTGATGCCCAAAAGTGTGTAAGAAACCTTTCCTTTTTTTTCTTTTAGTTAAATTTCTATCACATTCCTAATAATCAGTGCACTGCATTAGAAGTCAGGAGACATACAATCATGGGATTCGTACCTAGTATTTATTATGAAGTCTAAATCTGTGAATAAGAAAAAGCTCCTCTAATCCGGAAAACTATTATAGTAAAACGTTATATCACATTGTTAAGCTTTACTTATACACAAAAGCGCCTCTCTTCAAAGAAAACTTCAAAAGTAAACCTCATCCCAAGCCAATACTGCTGAAAGTCTATTTTTTTAAGTTGGCAATTACTTTAAAGTGTTACACAAAGTAACCAAAACTTTATGTAAACAGACTACATTTCCTCTCAACTCCACTCTAGTTGCTTCATCACATTTCAGAACAGACCGGCTTTGATCTCTTGGGCTACAGAGGGGCTGGGCTCCGGACTAATGAAAGGGGCTGGGTTTCTGACCAATGGACAACTCCAGCGAACCGCCCCATTTCTCATTCTTCAATACTAAACAAGTTTGGTTTTGTCACTAACTGCAATTCTCTAAAGAATGCCACGCCTTTTCGATTCCTGTCTTGACTGCCCCACCCCGGTCTGCCTCAGTTTCCACCCCTGACCGTCCGAAATGTAAAAGGAGGAGGCGTACCCGCAGTCCCGGCCACGAAGCCACCCTGGGGACCAGGAAGCAGGAAGTGACCCGCCACTTCGATGGGATTCCGGGATCCCCCCAGCCACCAGGGGGCCGGGGCCGAGTGTCTCGACCCAAATCCCTTCTCCCACCCTCGCAGAGTCTGACACAAAGTGAAAAGGCGGAATCGAACCCCAGAGCTCAGTTCTAGCCGGCCTGGAGGATCCCTAGACACCGAAACTGGACTAGGAGGCCGCCTCAGGATGGAGCCAACGTACCTATGGGGCCAGGCCCGACCTCTACTTTGGAGACTAAGGAACCCACGAGAGACCCAGCCCGGAGGCGAGTCTAGGAGGGACACAGGGAGAAGGCGCCCCAGAGCACTCACCACCTCCGCCGCGGTCCCCCGCCTCTTCCTGTCCCGGCTGGGCTCCCTCTCCGAGTTTTCCTTCGGTCCCACTTCCGGCGCTCAGCGCTGTCTCATTGTGCGCGATTGGGAGCCGGCTGTGCCCCCGCCCCGGCGCTCCGCCGCGCACGCCGGAAACGCGCGCAGCGCCTGGAGGGCCGCCCTCCGCCCCGCCCGCCGTCGCCCAGCTGCCGGGCCGCCCACCGTCGCCACGGCGCTCTGCCCCCGGGTATGGGTTGTCAAGGCCAGCCCGGTTACGCCCCTCGGCGCCCGCGGGTTGTTCGCCCTCTACCCCGGCGCGCGGGCAGGGCCTTCTCCGGTGAGCAGTGCCCGGGGCTCCCCGGGTTCCCCTCTTGATTGTGGGCGCTAAAAGCTCGGGGCAGGGTGGGGGAAGCAAGGGGAGCCCAGTCTCCTGCGATCTGAGGGGAGTAGGCACTGGGGGACTCAGCTTTGCCCCTGGATGCTACTCAGTGGCTTCTGGGGGAAATTGAGCCAGCTTCTTTCTGTTCCTATTTTCCTGATAATTCAGAGTGACGTTTCCGTGAGGTCTTAATTGCGGACCTGGTAGAAAGGTCAGTTTAAGCATCTAATGTTCACCCACAGTTTAATGTAGCCCAGGGGAATGCTCTGCTCATTCCTAAGGTTGTGACCCTAAGAGAAGATAAGAACAAAGTGAATTTTGACGAACTTGGTCTTAAACACCTGGCGGGAGAGTATGGCCAAAGCACGACCATATGTGGACATTTAAAAAGAAAGATAGCCCGGCATGGTTTACTTTTAAGAGTCATTTTTAGAGAGTGAAAGTGATCAAGTTATATCTATGTATGAATATTCCACAGTGAAACCCACTCTTCTGTACACCTTTTAATACACCTATTAAAAGTCGTTTTGAAAAGTATGTGTGGTGGGAAAGGATGATCAGGGAGGGTCAAATTCAAACTTTTTTTTTTTTTTTTGATACTGGGAATTGAACCCAGGGATGCATACCACTGTTGAGCTACATACCCAGCAATTTTTTTTTTTTTGACCCACTTCTGCTAAATGGCCCAGCCAGCCTTCAAACCTGGCGATCCTCCTGCTTTGGCCTCCTGAATGGCTGGGATTCACAGGCCTCTGCCTCAGGACTAGTTCAAATTCAGATTTTTGAACTGAAGAATGTACACCTTGAACTAGCAAACAACTAAGGATTGCTTCCACTCCCCCTCCCCCCCCCCAAAAAAAAAAACATTGGTATTATCCTCCTTGCTACCTGGGATGTTCTGAGTGTTTTAAAAAAAATAAAAATTAATAAAATTAGGGAGTGCTGGGAAAATAGGACAGCTTATTTGTCCATTTTTCTAGAGCTTTTAAATTTAAACCCATGAGGTTCTGTTGAGGCAAGAGTCTAAATTGGTAAAATATTGGTTATTGCCAGACATCTTTGAGAGCTTTACAAATATTAACTCATTTAATCATCCTCACAACAACTGCATTAAGAAAATATCATTATTCCCACTTTAAAGATGGGGAAACTTCTGAGTGGGGTGGGGCATGCCTGTAATCCTAGAAACATTGGAGGCTGAGGCAAGAGAATCAAGTTGGAGGCCAGCCTCAACAATTTAGCAAGACCTGTCAAAAAGGGCAGAGGATATAGTTGGGGTAGAGTGTGAAGGATATGAAATATAACCCTCAAGGAGAAAGGAGGACAGTTTGTTTGGGGGAGCAAACAATGATCTCTGAGCTCTGGACATTCATTCACCCTTTCCTAGCAACAAATGATTCAAATCTTATTTTTTGGAGGCGGGTGGATACTAGGGATTGAACTCTGGGGCATTCCGTCACTGAGCCACATCTTCAGCCCTATTTTGTATATTATTTAGAGACAGGATCTAACTGAGTTGCTTAAGGTCTCGCTAAATTGTTGAGCTGACTTTGAACTCCTGATCCTATCTCATCCTCCCAAGCTGCTGGGATTACATACCTGTGCCACCTTGGCTTTCAAATCTCATTTTTATGAATCAAAACTTAATCAAGCCCTGTAAAAAAAAAGAAATTAGACCCCTCCTATAATCATTTGCCATTTTTTTCTTCTGAAAAAATGTGCCATTCTGTTGCTTAATAAAGAAAGCTTGCTTTCCATTGAGATCTGGTCTCTGATTATTTTTGCTTTCCTCAGTATAATTAATAAATAAAGATGGGGAAATTAGCACTTAATGGTGAAGTAAATAGCACAACTGGAATCCAAACTCAGATTATCCTGAGATGTCTGTTCTTAACTAGGTGACTATACTATGGTGATTTTAGGCACATTCCTACAACTTTGCTGCAATTCTTTATTTAGATGTTTTGGGACTGCATATTGGCACACACTTGTAATCCCAGCAGCTCAGGAGGCTGAGGCTGGAGGATGACAAGTTCAAAGCCAGCATCAGCAAAAGCGAGGCAGTAAACAATTCAATGAGACCCTGTCTCTAAATAAAATACAAAATAGGGCTGGGGATACAGTCAGTGATTGAATGCCCCCGAGTTTAATCCCTAGTACCAAAAAACAAAACAAATCAACCCCCCCCCAAATGTTTTGGTTTTGAAAATTCATGGGAATAAAACTAATAATCTTTTTGACCAGCAGGCAAGTAGCATTTAGCATAGAGTAGGAAGGGAGCGTGGCGATACATGATTGTATTATGGGAAAATAGCATTACCAGTCAGGTTAGTACTTCCTATTCGAAAGAACTGGTTTAGGTAAGTCCATCTTGATTTCTGAATTCTAGGGAACCAAAATAGCAAACATCTTTTTAAGGATTTAGAATAGTTCATATTTGCATTTTCTTCAATGCTTTGTCCAAAGTGTAACTTCTCATATTATAAATTAGCTGATTTTAAGATTCATCTTGAGGATATAATACTAATTGAAACACTGGCAGTAGAGTTACTTTCTTGTGACCTTTTATACTGTAAGAGTAATTTAAATTGGCCAGTGGAAATCCTTAAATCCAGTTGAAAAGTTTGGAATTTTCTTTGATGTCATTGAAAGGAGGATTGAGTTTCTCAGAATAATAGCTTCTTGTTCTACAAATATTTTCAACAATTTATAGTAGAAATGTGGGGACAGAGGTTGTTCTCTGGTTGGGAGGTAGCGATACTGTTGTTACCAAAAGCATGATCATTGTCCCCAATGCCAGTTCAATAAAAAGGACACAGTTTTGAGAAAAAGGAAAACATTTTTATTGCTTTGCAAGCAGAGGAGAAATACCAGGACTCCTGTCCCAGAGGCTGTGGTTCTGCCCATCTAGGGGAACAGGGGTTTTTAAAGAACTGAATCAAAGGCTACTTTCCATGTGTAATTCACTTGTTAATTTGAGAGAGAGTCATTTCTTGTATTTTTTGGTGCCATCCGCAAGTCTGAATTACTTTGTTCCTGTGGTGGGTGTGTGCTCAAGGACAGATAACTGCAAAAGTGGAAGAAAGATAATCTTGTCCCATCCTGTGCCCCTCCCTGCCTTTCCAAGATTAGGGTTGGGAAGAGATTAGGGAGGAGAAGTGACTGAGAAAGGGGAAGAAACATGTTCCTTTTAAAAATAAGTTGCAATCATGAAATGGTGCAACCACTTAGGAAAATAAGCTAACAGGTTTTTTTTAAGATTAAATATTTACCTATCATGGGAAAAAAATAAGTTGCAGTGGTAGAGCATAAAATGAACCACTGTTACATTTCCTTATTTTGTATTTTATTTAGTGATAGGATCTCACTGAATTGCTTAGCACCTTGCCATTGCTGATGCTAGCTTTGAACTCATGATCCTCCTGTCTGGCCTCCTGAGATGCTGGGATTATAGGTCTGTGCCACCTTGCCTGGCCCTTACTGTCACTTTCTACAATTCCCTTTTTATGGCAGTGACATCTCTGAGCTACTTTCTGTGTGAATTTGGGGGAAGTGACCTGAAGTTCTTGTTCTCTATCAGGTGGGACAGTTAAGTGTATGACAGGAGAGTTTGAAGTAAACATGTTTTGATGAAGAAAGGTGCCTAAGCTAGAAAAATGTGTGAAATAGATAAGGATATAAGGTTAAACATATTTTGATGTATTTTAGCACAAACAAGTGTGATAGTTTAGATAAGCAAGATGTAAGCAAGATGTGATGCAATATAGACACAATCTGTTAAGATAGGATAAGAAATAGAAGTTACGACATAAACATGTTTTTGGTTTGAAGTGTTGTAAACAACTATAGTATTTAAAGGCCAGGAAGGCTGAGCTCTTTGGCCAGTTCAGATCCACGATGTCCGTGGGTCAACATCGAGCGAACTGAACCCCGCCAGTCTCTGTTCCTGTGCCTCGTGTGATGTGATGAACCTGGCGTGAATAAACCGAGCATTCGAAAAGGCATCCCATGTGCAGCGGCTTCTTTCTTCAGGACACGGATTGTCGGCTGGGAGCGGTTACCTGGGGCAGGGGCCATCCTGACTCCAGAACCACCCGGGAGCAATCGCGGGACCTCGCCGCAGTCCCTACTCGTGTCAGTGTATATTCAGCATCAGGGCAGACCAGAGGTCCATGGTGGCAGTTGGTAAGTGACTGGACAAAGTTTACATAGGACAGGGATCATGCTAGGACAATAATAAAGACTTCAAAGTATGTTTGGGTGAACAATTAACACAAAAGCAATTAGTATTTCTGCCAGTCTCTGAAAACCATAAACAAGTAACTCATAATCATGTCAATGAAAAACAGATCAAGTTTATCTATGTAGAAGGTTAAGAAGATTTGTAGGCCCATGAGATCAGGCTCAAATTGACTCAGGATAAACTTGTGACTTTTGAGTCTTTCGTGATCATTATTATTAGGCATTCCCACACAAGAACCCTTCCTTTATAGCTTCCAGATTTACTTACTTTTGGTAGCGTTGACAGAAGTGTACATCTTGAGTTACATTAAAAAATTATCGGGGCTGGGGATGTGGCTCAAGCAGTAGCGTGCTCGCCTGGCATGCGTGTGGCCCAGGTTCGATCCTCAGCACCACATACAGACAAAGATGTTGTGACCACCACAGACTAAAAAAATAAATTAAAAAAAATTATCTTTCCATTTATGCATTTAGGAACAGGGATTAAACCCAGAGGCTCTTAACTATTGAGACATATCTCCAGCCCTTTATTATTTTGAGGCAGGGTCTCACTAAGTTGCCTAGGGCCTTGACAAATTGCTGAGGCTAGCTTTGAAATTATGATCCTCCTGTCTCAGCCTCCCAAGCTGCTAGGATTACAGGCATGTGACTCCATGCCTGGCTGTCTTTCTTTTTAAATGTCCACATATAGTCGTACTTCAGTCATACTCTCCTGCCAGGTGTTTAAGACCAAGTTGGTCAAAATTCACTTTGTTCATATCTTCTCTTAGAGTCAGTGATCTCAGGATTCCTTAGCAATCATTCTTGGGGACATAGTATTGCCGCAGTCCGGCTGCAGCAAAATAACTGGGGAGTGACGAGCAACTTGTGTACATTGATACAGCAAGAGTGGGAGCTGTTTATTGTAGGACAGGAGGGGTATGTATACGTTCCACACAGCTTATCTTAATTAACATAAACTAGATACAGCAGTCAACCAATAAGGAATCTCCACACTTAATGGCTCACTGGCCTTACTTCACAAACCACTCCCCCTGGCAAAATGCCAGGCGCCATCTTGACTTGTTTACAGACCCTAACATAGAATGAGAAGTCTCTTTCCTCTTTTAGCCTTCCTGTACCAATTGTGTTATCTGCTAGGATGGGTCAAAGTCTTACTGACTATATCAGGATATTTCCCTCTTCAATGACCCCGCTCTTTGCAGAATGTGCACTGATTGGCTGGCTTCCTGTTCTGTAGTATCTCCTTGATCCCCCTGATGAGGAGGCTGGGTGACTCCTTGAAGTTGCAGGGTCCTTAGAGGGGTTCTGTCATCCTCTGGCTCCTTGCTGATCTGAGAGAGCAAGGGCCAGAAAATTGGCTGCTTTTTCCTTGGCCCTTTTACTTCCTTGACTTCGGTCTCCCAACTTTTTGGTTTTGAACATCCAGCAGGCCAGTTTCACCAATATTAAAAGTGGAAAATATGGGTTATACTTTTATAGTTACCCTATCATTTAATTGGGGTATTAGTACTGAAAAGCAGCATTGCAATCTGTCTGTTCTTTAGGTGATAACTTATTGTCTTAAATTCATTATGGTTGTTCTGTTCGAAGTAGAACTTCTGTAAAATATTAAAAGGCAATAGTTATATACTTTTATAAGGAAAATACAAAATGAACACTAGACTATCTTTGGTATCCTATAGCTTCTAGAAAGATCCATATATCAACTCAATTACATACAAGTTTTTTTTAACTCTTTTACAAGCCTAAATAACTTTTACAGTTTGCCCAAACTTTTACTTAAGTATCACATCCCTTGTTTGTTTTGAGATCATAGTAATCTTTACAACAACAACAAAATAAATCTTTTGAACACAACTTTAAGCTTAATTTTAGCTTACTTTGGGACTCTCCTAACATGGAGAAGGACAAGAGCCAAGCCTTAACTTAGGTGAGGCTGGACTCTTGACAAAGTGTTTATTCCTGAAACTGATCTGATCTTTGCCTTTCTTTTTTTTTTTAAAAAAAGTATCATTTTACAAAGTTCTCATGAATTGTTTCCTGAGTCTGTCTGAATAGCAGTTAGCATAATACAACATCACATCTGAAACATGAATCAAAGAAAAAAAGCTAAGAGAGTTCTTAACTTTCTTTTTGTGGAAAAAGTGACAAAATGTTTTCATGTTCCACATTGTCAACCTTTGAACAAATCAGGCTCTCCTCATTATCTTCCAAAAATACATTTAAATTTCCATCCCAGTGTAAAGAGTACCACAAAATTTTATATGTAATTTATTGACAATGGGTTACTTTTATCCAGTTACAAAACATTAACTGACATAAGTAAATACCAACCAAATTTGTTATTTCTATATAAACCTGAGGGTGATTATTGCTACAGATAATTTTAGTTTAGAGAATACCAACCTGGTAAATTGCTCTCCTAAGCTTACATTTAGATGGCTTATATATTTGAAGAACATAAAATCATTTAATATTCAAAGAAGCTAGTAATGGTTAGCATTACAATTGCATAGATGTCTCTATATTAACTAAGTTTAACTTAAAAGTAAAATTTAGAGTCCACATTGTATATGGTAACAATAATCATAAGTCTTCATACTAGCAAAAATCAAAGAATAGCCTTAAGTCTCATATATTTAGGAAACTATTAATAATTAGGAATAGACTTAGTCAAAGCAAACAGATATAAAGTCAGAGCCAGGTCTTCAAATGGCATTATGGCCCTTCTATGTCAGATACAAGGTATAAAAGAACATTTATTAGTTACCTTGCTAGTAAACCTACATAAACTTTCATTTTATGAACTTACATAACACTTAGACCAGGCTCAGGCAAACACAATTCTCAGATGTGTACATATCTCTGGTAACATGTATTCAGGGTATCAACTATATTGTAGTAACCTAAAATAGAAGTTGCTTATTTAACTAGTTATGAAGTAATCATTTAAAAGACTTTAAAACAGGCATAAATCCTAATTCTTCTTTAAGATTTAATTTCCCTAAGTAATAAAACTTGACAGACACAAGAAAATTATCTTAATAAAGAGCAGATTAATGTTCTAGACTTTGCTTCATATCATTGCATTAAAATTTGAATAACTTTGACTATGCTAATTACAGCCAATTTAATCTCAAATTTTTTCAGATGTACCTTCACAAATCTTCTGCAACTTATTTAGCCATTCTACAATTTGTTTACATCCTTAGTTTTGTCCTCTCTTTCATATTGGTCATTAGCACAAGAATATTACTTTATCAGATAAAATACTTCATCATCCAGAAATATTTTTTTTACCCTCTAATTTTCCAGACTAAAATATATTTCCATACCTATAACTTTCTTACATTTCTTTTCTAGTTTCATACCCTTTCTTAAATTCATATTCTGAAACAATCTTTATGAATATTATAAGTGCATGTAATTACTCAACAAATTTTATCCCAGGAGAGGACCAGACAATTTGGCATATAGAAAAACTATACCTTAATCTTTTTCTTCTAGGTTGGATTCAAGGGGTTGGAGCATGGAATATTTTTGAGCCTGACCTGTCTCCCTTATCTTTATTACAATGCCACCAACTTTGAGTTCCCCAATGGTCAACTGTACCCCAAGTCTCCTTTCACACCGTTTTCTTACACTAGGCATATTGATGGTCAATAGAAGAGGCCCTTTCCATCCTTTTCTTTGGGCATTCTTGAAGATCTCTTTGTGGAGGTTGCCAGCAAAACTTGGGATTGGCTTTAATTTCTGTTTTTATTTATTTATTTTTTATTTCTGAGTGCAGTTGTTTATCCTACCAATTTCCTTATGCATTTAGTTTTTAAAAATTTTTTTATAGTTTTAGATGGACAGCATGCCTTTATTTTATTTGTTTATGTGATGCTAAGGATTGAACCCAGTGCCTCACACAAGCGCTCTGCCACTGAGCTACAGCCCCAGTGCCTGCATTTAGTTTGATGGGATACTGTTATAGCAAGGATTGCTCTGCCCCAGTGATGAATATCCCTGACTGAATAGCTGATTTCCCTGTTGTCATTTCTTTTGGTGCCATCCCTAAGTCTGAATTACTTTGTTCCAGTGGTAGGTGTGTGCTCAAGGATAGATAACTCCTTGGAATGGGGAAGAAAGGTATTCCTGTTTCTCCTGAGGTTAGGGAGGAGAAGGGAGAGAGGAAGAGAAATAAACATGTCCCCTTTAAAGTCACAGTGGCAGAGCAGCAAGGGCTATATTCAAAGCATAAAGTAGACCACTGTTACACTATTACCCAATGTTCAGAAGACATTAATACTGCTTCTTATATTACAATATGTCTTCTATCTTAAGCCAGAAGATTTAATATTATATCTTGACAATCCAACCTTTAACAAAACCAATGCCCCTTTTCCTGTGGAGCCGTGGTTTCCGAAATGCAGGAATTATATTCATAGCTTTATCAGCCACGTTTTTTTCTTTCAATGCTTTCAAGCATTTTGTTAGCATGTAATACGGTTCTTCCTTTAAATATATATCCAGGGGAAATAAAAGATAAATGTGGTCAGAGTTCAGTGACTTCTCGACACTCCTTCTGCTTGCAACATGGTCTTTCTTAGTCATCACCATGACTTGCCTGGATTGCTGAAATCAGCAGTTTCCACCTTTATCCTCCTCTAGTCTGTTTTTAACATAATAGGCATGTGCCACCATACTCAGCTTGCCAAGTTTTCAACATCATAATGCCTTTAATTTTTTTTCTTTTAATTTCTCAAATAGAATTAGGGATGTAACTCAGAGGTAGGGCACTTGCCTAACATGCGTGAGACCCTGGATTCAGTCTCCAGTACCAGGGGTAAAAAATCTAATTAAATAAGAATACTTTTTTCTTTTCTTTTTTGGTACTGGCAATTGAACCTGGGTCACTTTACCACTGAGTTACATTCCCAGCCTTTTCTATTTTT